AGATTTTAAAAACAAATTGCTTTGGAGCTACTGAGCTCTTAGCTCAACTGAAGTCCAATATTACTGTGGACAGGGGCACAGGGGACGGTCCAGGAGATCGTCACTTGGGGAACGTGATGTCCGGGAACAGACTCTGAGTCCTGGGCCTGTCTGAGCACAGCTTCCCACAGCTGTGGGAATGAGCATCTGGGGCCTGGAAAGAGGCCCCAAGCAGGACCTGCAGGAGGATGGCAGGCAACAGCGGGAAGTCAGTAACTCACAACGCCAGTCAGTTTACTCTCTGCCTCAGTTTTCATATCTGTAAAATGAAACGGTTTTCATGTTTCACCTTACAAGGACTTTTATTTTTTATTTATTTTTTTAGGTTTTTTTGTTTTGCTTTTTGGGTCACACCCGGTGATGCACAGGGGTTACTCCTGGCTCATGCACTCAGAAATTACTCCTGGTGGTGCTATGGGATGCTGGGAATCAAAGCTGGGTCAGCCGCGTGCAAGGCAAATGCCCTCCCCACTGTGCTATCACTCCAGCCCCCCCAAGGACTTTTAAAGGACCAGACAGGATAGTGGGCATGGAACTTCTTGGAACGTTCAAATGTGAGGGAACCCTTTTAAGTAGCTATGACATAATATTCAAAGAGTTCCTGGATTTGGCTTTTCCAGTGTGAGACCATTTTCCTGTCTCATACATAATCCAGCCCCATCAACACTCATTTCTCAGTCCCAGTAAGAAGCACTGAGTGAGCACCGCCACTCGACACTGTGTGGGCCGGGGAGCCTTCCTTCCCCGTCTCCCTTTGATGCATTCATTTCTCACAGAGCCAGAATAAACCTGCTAGGTTAGAGGCAGATCCTGCATCTCCTCTGTTCAGAGTTCTGCCACAGTTCCTGCTTACTCGGGGCCAAAGCAGCTTCCCACACTGTCCTCGACCCCCAAAGGACAGCCCCTCACCTCTCTGCTCCGCCCTCTCTTCGGAGGACTCCTCCTCCCCGCTGCCCCAAGGTCTTGCCTCCTCTTTCTGAAAAGCTCTGCATCAGTCCGGAACCATTTCATCGCTCTTTCCACAAAGATTTGTTGTGGAACTTTCCCTGGGCCCTCTCACATTTCAGCCTGCAGGCTTCTTACTCCTCCTGGCTCTAGAATCGCTCCAGCTCTGTTCTTGCCTGGCTCCACCGTCTCCTCGCCTTGGCTGGAGGACGCCCCACGAGGGCAAGGGTTCGCCTGTTCTGGGGGATTGTAGGGCCTAGAGTGGGTCGGCACCTGGGAGCTCCCACGGGAGTGAGGGGCATGGCCTTGAACCTCTGCCCTCAGACACCGACGCCATCGCTGGGGTGGGAGAGGGGTGGGAGGACGAGACCTAGCAGCCCACAGAAGTCTCTAGAAGGCCTCTTCTCCAAGGGTGTCACCACAAGGATTTCGGCTCTCACCCGTCTTGAGCAGCACAATTTATAACAGGAGTTAACTGCTTACTAATTAGCAGCTGGAACCATTATTTGGCGATTTGTTAGAGCCTGAATTAATAAACTGGCCTTTCAGAGGGGTCATAACTCTCCTTGCTGCTCACCCCCTCCCAGTCAGCCTTCCCCCCTCTGCCGGGCGAGAGTCTTGCCCAGAGATGGAATCAATACCTGCCTCTCTCTGGTCTTGCAGAGCGAGCTCCTGGTTCCCCTGGTGAGGCGAGGATGCAAGGACACCCTTGCTGCAGCCTCCTGCTCTTCGGAGCTGGAGGAGCTATTAATAACCCCCCCCAGTGCCCCCCCATGCCCTCCGCACACCCACAGCCCTTGCCCTGCTGGGCCAAAGCCGGGGACTCCCTTTGCCAGCTAGTCACAGCTGCTTCCTTCCTGACAGCTCCCTGAACCCAACCCATGGGCCACACTGAGCCCAAAAGAGGGTTCTTCTTAGGATGGCTTGGGTGGATCCGGGGAGTTGGGGGGGGTGCTGGTCTGGGAGGTGCCTTTCACTAGGGCCTGGGGGGTCTCACTCTCCTGCTCCAACCCGTAGGAGCTTGATTCAGGGCTCAGAGAATCATCTCTGGGTGAACACAATAGAAAACAATTCTTATGAAGACTGAGTAGGTACAGGGGTGTGCAGGGCAGTGGCGGGGGGAGCAGGGGTGCCCAGCCAAGTTCCCTTCCCAAAGTGAGGTGGGCTCTGGGCATGGTGGGTCAGGAATTGTTCTCCAGAACCACAGCCCTGAGGTGCCGGCTCCAGCCCAGGGCCTGGCGTGTCAAGCCCACCATTCCGCTCCTACCTCACTCCTCTGGGCCGGGGATCCTCCTTGCTCAGTGGGGAAACTGAGGCTTAGAGGGTGAGGGTTCCTGGTCACATGGCTCAGCGCCTGTGTTTTTGTTCTCCCGCCTGGTCCCAGTTGTCAGAACCGCAAGCAGGGCACTGGGGGAGGCGAGGACTGAATTTACAGGCTGTCAAGGTATTTACACTGCATACAATTAGCTGTGAGTATTCACAAGTGGATTAGCTACAGCAAATGTTCAATCCCAGCCTGGCCATGGTCCTCTGCTCCCCCTGCCCCCAGCCCTCCTCCTCCTCCTTCAGGTCCCGGTGCAGAACAGGACCAAGTCTAGAGGTCAGCTGGGTCCCTGGAGTTCCAGGATCCCTGTCACAGAGCAGATCACTGCCCACCCTTGCAAGCTAGGAAGAGGCAAGCGCCCACAGCGGGGTGAGCTTGCGGAGTGCTGGAGTGCTCGGTCCACCAGGAGTAGGCAGGGCAGGAAGCACAGGCTCTCCCTGGGAGCTCCTGGAGGTGAAGACTTCGAGGAAGTGTGGCTGGGGGACAGGAGGATCCCTCAGTCTCCACTGGCCACTTCCTTGTCAGCGGAGGCTGGGGAGGTGGGTGGGCAGAGAGGGTTAACTCCGCATCTGGGGCAGAAAACGGAAGGTCTCATTGGGGGTACTCATTGCCGGAGCTAGGAAGGAAGGGACATCTGGTCTGTGAGGGACATTCTTTGCTCAGGAATTCAACAAAGCTGGCTCGCTGGGTGCCCAGCCCTAAGTTGGGTCTGGGTCTCCTTGTTCAGCCCTGGACCCCGGGAGGGAAAGGGGAGAGAAGGGAAGAAGGGTGGAGCAGGTTTGGTGAGTGAGGTGGGTTGGAGAACAGGGTTCTTTCCTGTCCTTGGAATTCCCTTGGAGGGCAGAAAGGACCGGGAGGAGGTGGCAGCTGGTGGCGCCCCCACGCCCGACTTCTACCCCGACTTGACATCGGGGGCATGTCCTCCCGTGGGGGGCTACTGGAAGGTCAGGGGGGAGGGGCCTGCCGGAATCGGGCCCGGAGAAAGGGTGGAAGGGGGCGTTGTATGATCGTTCAGAAACCGCATGTTCCGATTTCCGTGTCGACAATGAACTGTTTCGCGGACGCTCCGAGTTTTGACCCGCGCGGGGAGTCGCGGCCCCATCCCGGCGGCTCCGGGGGGCCGGGGGCGGCGGGGCTCGAGCATCCCCCGCGCGCTCGCCCGCGCCGCGGCGGTCCGCGCTCCCCCCGGGCAGCGCCCGCGCAATCCCTGCGTCCCCGCCGAGATAAATCAAGGCGACAGGTGGAGCAGGTGAGATTGGCAGGACCCGGGCGGGGACGCGAGGGCAGACGCGGGGGAGGCCGCCGGCCTCGGCGGCAAGGCAGCCCGCGCCGCTCCCCCGCGCGCCTCACCCCTGCGCCCCGGCGCCGGGTGCCTGGCGGGGCTGGCGGGGGCGCCGGAGGTCCCACGGGCGGGAGAGGCTGCCGGGGGGCTTCGCGGGAGGGGTGCCGCGCGGCCAGACCTGTTGGCGCCCTGCAGCGCCCCTGGGGCGGCGCCCCCACGCCCCGAGCCCCGCGCGGCCGAGGCCACGGACCGGGCTGGGCCGCGCCGGCCGCCCTGCAGACCGCCAGCTCCCGGGGGGCCGCCTCGCGCGCTCGCGGGACCCCAGGAGCGGCGGGCGCGCGGCCTCGCCCGCAGACCCCGCTCCAGCCCCAGCCCCTCCACCCCGGAGGAAGTGCAGAACATCTCCAAAGTGCGCGGCGCCCCGAGGGGCCGGGCCCCCCGGGCCCGGGCACCGAGCTGGGCAGCCGATCTGGGTGTGCAAGGGCGGCGGACGGGGCGAGCGTGCCCGCGCCGAGACCGCGTCCCTCCGCCGCTGTCCTCGGGATAGATGGATCCTCGCGGCTCCCTGACATTTCTCCTGCGGGGGGCGGGGAGAGGAGGGGAGGAGGAGAGAGAGAGGCAGAGAGAGGGAGAGGGGAATAGAGAGGGGGATAGAGAGAGGGGCGGAGGAGGGGGAGAGAGAGGGAGAGGGAGAGGGAGAAAGGGAGGGAGGAAGAGGGAGGGAGAGGGGGAGAGGAGAGGAGAGGGGGACGGGGGGAGAGAGAGAGGGGGAGAGGGGGAGAGAAGGGGCGAGGGGAGAGGGGGAAGGAGAGGGAGGAGCGGGCGGCAGCCTGCTTCCCTCGGCCCTGTTTTGTTTTCTCTAATTGGTCCTGGGGGAGGCGAGGAAATTGGACCGAGGCTGGGCCGGGCGGGCTGGGCTGCCTTTAATTGGCTCCTTTTTTTTAACTGGAGGGGAATCAAACAGGAGAGCGAGTGACAAAGGGTGGGAGAGCGAGAGACCGAGCGGGGAGACGCGAGGAGGAGGAGGAGGAGGAGGAGGGAGGCGGCGGGAGGAGGGGGCGGGGGGCGGGATGAGGAGCTCCGGGCGGGGGGAGCCGCACCGCGCAGCCCAAGTTGCCGAGCGCGCAGGGCGCTCCCGCGGCCCGGAGCCCCGCACGGCCCCGCCCTCCCGGGCCCCCCGCGGGCAGAGACCGCCGGGCGGGGGCGCGGACGCCCAAGTTGGGGCGCGGCGCGGCGCGCGGAGAGCACCGGCACCAGGCGGGCGCGGAGAGCATCGGGCGGGCGCGGAGAGCACCAGCCCGGCGCGGAGAGCACCAGGCGGGCGCGGAGAGCACCGGGCGGGCGCCGAGAGCACCAGCCCGGCGAGGAGAGCACCAGGCGGGCGCCGGGAGCACTAGCCCGGCGCGGAGAGCACTAGCCCGGCGAGGAGAGCACCGGCCGGGCGCGGAGAGCACCAGGCGGGCGCCGGGAGCAGCGGCCGGGCGCGGCCGGGCGGAGCGGAGCTGCCGGGTGTCGGCGCCGCAGCCCGGCCGCGGGGAGAGCGCGGAGATCGCGGGTTTCTGGTCTTGTTTTTCCCAGCGACTCAAACTTTCCTCCGTCCCTCGCGTCCTGGGGTCCCCCTCGGCGGGAACTGCCCTTCGGGTTCCCGCGGGGCGCCGGGCAGCGGACCCGGGCGGGGGGCTTGGGGCCCGGGTCTGCCCGCCGCTCTGAGCCCCCGCACCCGCCGCAGGACCCGCCCCGCGCCGCGGCCTCCCGTGCCCGCTCCGCCCAGGGGCATCCCCGGGGCGGGGAGACGACAAGTTTGTCGGTGGCCAGTGGCCTGTGGGCTCGAGCGCCGCCGCCAGCGGGGACCCGGCGCCCGCAGCCCGCGCAGCCCGCCCCGGGCACCTGGAGCCGGGGCGCTGGCCCTCGCGGTCGCCGCTCGGGAAGGCGGGCACGCAAGGGGCACCGCGGGGCCCCGGCGGATGCGCCCCCCGCCGCCTCGCGGGATGAAGCACGGGCCGTGAAGATGGAGCTGACCTGCCTCCTGCTCCTGGCGCTGCTCCCGGTCCACGGCCGGGCACAAGGAGTCTACGGTAAGCGCCCGCGCCCCGCGCCGCGCCCAAACTTTGCAAGAGGCGCAAAGTGCGCGCCGCCGGGTTCGGTGGGGCGTCGGCTCGGACTCGGGCGCGGAGGGCGCCGGGTCCCAGCGACGGGCCGCGGGGAAGCCGGAGGTGCCGGGAGACGGACCCCGTTTCCCAGACCGTGCGGGGGGACCCGCGAGCGCCGGCTCGGGAGACCCCGGCAGACCCGAAGCCTCGTCCCGCCGCGGCCCGCGGAGTCGGAGCCGAGCGGACCCGAGCCCGTGCCGGTGGCCGCCGGCGCTCGCTTCTCGGCGGTCCGCGCCGTGCCCGCGTCCCGGGGTTGGGCGCCTAAAACGCAGGCATCCCTTGTCGGACTTCTCCGGAGGACCCCGTCGTTCCTGCCCTTGGTTCCAGGCCACAAACCCTCGGCCCACCTGCCTTTCATCAGTGCGCACCAGCACGCACGCACACACACACACACACACGCACACACACAGAGCCACCGTGCCCTGGGAACGCAAACACCATCCGCACCCATCGGGTCCAAACTCAGCCTCCACAGAGGCGCTTCGCAGCCCCACGTTCGGCTCGTTGGCACAGCCGGGGACTCCGGTCACCCGGGGCTTCCTTTCCTTTCCCGGGCTTCCCGGGAAAAGGGTCAGGGAGCAGGCAGCATTTGCCCAGAACCCCGGGGACAGCCCCCCGCTCCCAGGGACTCTCCCTTGCAGTTCTTTCCGAGGCCGGGCATTGGGTGTGGGTCACTTTTTAATGAGCGGAGCGGGAAGGAATCACCTTCCACTCTTCCTGGGGGTCGAGGATCTAATTATTTGCTTCCGATCGGGGCGAGAGTTTGATCTGTTCCCTGGTAGTGGCAGAGGCGCTGTCTCCCTCTGCCCAGCCTCGGGGGCAGAGCTAAATGCTTTCTTCTGTGGCGAGCTGGGAAAGGAAGGGTGTCCGGAGGTGCTGTGCTCCTGGCCCTGCCCAGCTAGCTGGCTGGGGCTGAATTCCCTGGGGGAGGCCGGCCCAGGCATCCAGCCAAACTCTGCTTCTTAATTAGTTTGTGTGTCGCTTACTGCCTTGGCCCTTTGCAGAGGCAGGAAGGGGAGGGGTGTGAAAGAATGCATGCAGACCAACTGCGAGAGCTGGTGTGTGTGTGTGTGTTTGTGTGTGGTGGTGGTGGGGGTCTCAGCTGCGCAATCCCAGAGGTCTGGGGGGAGGGGAAGCCCCAGGAGGTGAGGGGGATTCTCTTCTTTCTTCCTTAAAGCTTTCACTGCCTCCTTAAGAGGGGGGCAAAGTCAGGCCTTGGCTGAGGCCTTGGCCACTTTCTGCCCTGCCCTGGGGCCCCTGAGAGGAACACCCCCATCTCGGGGGCCCCTGAGAGGGACCCTCTCCCATCTCCCTCTGAGCGCCTCGGGGAGGCTCCTGGTCATCCTCTCCTGCACCCCTTTCAGCCACCCCGTCTCACGTGGGGAAAGTGCCGATGAAGAGGAGGGTCCTGATGTGGGAACCTCTGATTTATTCTCTGGCTCATCTGCCCCCCCCTCCCCAAACCCCCACCTCCATGTCTGGGATCCTCCCTCCTCCCTCCCAGGCTGGCTCCTGCCTCTCTCACCCAGAGCAGAAGGGGCTGTGCTGGGTGCTCGGGGAGGCTGGCAGAGAGAGTTTGGCTCTGGGGAAGGCTGGGGCGCGGTAGCCAGGAGAGAGAAGGGCGCCGCAAGGGGTCTACAGTGGTGTCCTTGGACGTGAGGAGCTTTGAGCAGATCCAAGGAAGGGGCAGGGGATGCCTGGGACTCAGGAGAGAGGCAGCCCGGAAGGCGGCTCTTCTGGCCCCAGCTGTTCACTGCCCCCAGGAGGGCACAGTGCCGTGGCGGGTAGGAGCGAGGGTGGCCTGGCACCCAGGAGCGACAGGCACAAACTCACGGTGTGTGTGAAGGGCCAGGACTGGGGGCGGGGGAGGGATTGGGCTATGCTTCTTAGTAGTCTTCGAATATTCTAGCTCTCAGCTAGCAGAGTGCTCCTCGAGGGGTTCTGGCTGATGAACTGCAGCAGGGGCAGGGCCCGGCAGGGGACGTGGGGGCTGGGTGAGGAGCTGCAAGGAGAGCGGGCCTGAGAGGCGGCTGTGGGGATCTGTGGGCGGAGGCGGGCAAGTGGCAGCATGTGCCCGCCTCTCACCTCACCCCTTCGTCCCGTCCCTTCGGGGGTCCCTGGCCTGTCTCTCCAGGAGGGCCCCAGACACACTCTGTCTGGCCAGGTGGCCTCGCTCCTCCTAGGGGCACAGATGCGACAGCAGCCGAGTGCTGGACCAGATGGTCAATTTGGAGGCAATCCCCTGTTCTCTCCCCGCCGCCCAGTCTCCTGGCCCTGAGTCCTGCTCTGGGGCAGGTCTGCTCCCTGGCAGCAGTGACGGAGGGGGCAGGCGGTCACAGACAGCACGCGACCAGCCACCTAACCGTCCCCCTGCTGCGGGACTTCGGGCCGCAGGTCGGTGGGTTTCCTTATCAAAACACAACAAGCCCTTGGATTATTTAATATGCAGGAGTGGGAACTGACATTATCCTTAAGACAGGTTGTTTGCAACTTACTGGTGGAAGTCAAAATATTTCACCAAAGGTGTCATCAGAAACTACTATCCTATGCTAATTTTTGTGGGAACATGAAGACAGATGTTGAATAATTTGACAAGAGCAACATAGCTTACAGAATTATCACCAAGTCAGGTTTTTCCCCTCCTCTGAGGGATGCAGAGAAGGAATGAATCCAGGAAGTGTGTTTGGGCGTTGTGGACCCTCCAGGGATGGTTCACCTGAGTTCCTACCCAGATCTTGAAGCAGGCTGTCCATTTCTGGGTCTGGAACATGGAGGAGAAAACCGTGGTCTCCTGGAGCCAACCGAGGCTCATGCCTTCTGAATGTCGCTAAGGATATCGGTCCCCTGTCCCTTCTCAGCTCTAGAAACCCAGAGGGAGGGGATCTCGCAGAAGCCGGCTGAGGCGGGGTTGTTTTCAGCATGGTCTGCTGTGCATACCTACTCCCCAGGCCCCCCTAGGTGAGGACCCCTATGGTGACCTGTTTCCAGGGAGGCTGGGAATCTATGCTTCCCTGCAGGGCAGGGGTAGGGGGATTGTGTCGGCCAGGAAAGCTCCCGTGGACGGGCAGGTTGGGGAGAGGCCAGGGGCCCACTTGTAATTGGCCTGGCCTGGCTGTGAGCTGCTGGGGCCGAGGTGGCAAAGCCTCATTTAGCGCCTGGTATTAGCTCTGCTTTACTGGAACATGGAGGGACGGGCGGGGGGCTCCGTCGGGAGAGTGGAGGGAGCTAATCACAGCCGCCCAGGCCTGGCAAATGAATGATGCAGGAAATCAATACCTGGAGGCGGGAGTGGAAATCCGGCCAGTGGCACAGCCCCGGCTCCCGCTGCCTGGGAGACGCAGGGGGCCCTGAGAGGAGTGAGCCAGAGGCAGGCGCGTGGAGAAGCCTCCGCCCGCATCCTCCCTGTCACCCCAGTTCTGTCTCCCAACCCCTGCCTGTCATCTCGTGCACGGGGCTCCGGATGTGAGCCGGAAGCTGCCCCAGCAAGGGCCCCGGGATCTGGAGCTTTCCTGGGCGTCTCACCCTGCAGACCCCTGTCCCCACGCCCCTGCCAGTCTGGACGGGCAGAGAGGGTCACCTGAGACCAGCCAGACCTGCTGGGCGCTGCTTGCCGCGTGCTGGCTGCCTGGGTCTTGCCCGCGGGGTGGCCCTGCCATGCCAGATGTGGCCAGCAGGGGGAGGGCTTGGCCGCCGCATAGCTTTGTGCCTTTCCTGGGCGCCTGTGGCCCCGGTTCCCTGGAAACGGGAGCTCCTGGAGAGCCTTCTGATGGTGCAGACCGCCCCCCACCCCAATCCTCCAGGCGCCATAAAGAACCCCCAGTCCCAAGGCAGGGTCCGTCCTCTGAAGCGCCTGTGGGCCCCTCTGCTTCTGGCATAGAGCCTCTCCGGCCCCAGCGAGCACGGAGATGCTGATGTGGACAGCAGGGGCTTAACCCCAGGCTTGACTCCTGGTTCCAAACCTTGCAATCTTTCATTTCCCCAAGTCTGTGAGTAACGGGGTATTTTGCAAAAACAAAGACTACCAAAAAAAAAAAACATAAGAAAGTGAAGCTCAGGGGCTGGAGCGATAGAGAGCGCAGCAGGGAGGGCGTTTGCCTTGCACGTGGCCGACCCGGGTTCGATTTCCAGCATCCTATATGCACCACCAGGAGTAAGTCTTGAGTGCAGAGCCAGGAGGAACCTGAGTATCACCGGTATGACCCAAAAAGGAAAAGAAAGAGAAAGTGAAGTTCATGCACTATCCACACGTGTGTGTGTTGAAGATTCTTCAGAATAAAGAGGGTGCATGACGAGGGGCGAGCTTCAGGGAGAGTCCTGGGTCGGGGCTGTGGGGGTCCCTGCGTCTACCAGCTCCTTCAAGTCCTGTAGCTTTTGAGAGGTCCCAGAGGGGGGGGACAGGTTCTACTGTCCCCATCTCACAGTTGTGAAAACCTAGGTTCCCGGAATTTAAGTGACCAGTTGAAGGTCTCTTGCGGGTCAGTGGTGGCCCTGCGGGTTTCTGACTTGGCCGGTGTCCTCACAGGTCACCTCACCCCACAGCGCCCTGGAGCCCCGCCTGTGTCCACAGAGAGAGGGGGATGGGGGTGAAGGGGTGAAGGTCCTGCCCTGGAGGATGTGGAAGGGGTCTCACGTGTAGGAGAGGACCCCTGGGAGATCCCGATGTCCCCATCCAAGTGGAAAGGCAGCTACGGGGGGGGGGACGGGCTTCCCAGAGGAAGCCGCAAACCCCAGCACCTTAGGGGGAAGGCGGCATTTGACGTGACCTTGACAAGCGGCAGTGGGAATGCGAAGGCAGGAAGGAGAGAGGACCAGGAGCCGGGGGAGCAGTGAGTCACCCAGATGGGCTGGAGAGAGTTTGCCAGTGAGGGCACAGCAACAGCGTAATTACAGGGCCGGGCGGCTCTCATGTTTACCGTCTGGGCTGA